AGAGAGAGAGAGAGGAAGAAGAAGAAGAAGAAGAAGAAGATAAAACTATTGCAGTTTCAGAATGTTAGTGAAGACTCAGAAGAAGAGGCCCATGATGTCACAAATAAAACAAAATCTATTAAGCATCGACTAAAAGAGGTCTAAAGGCAACAGCACACTATTTTACTGTCACTCGCTATATTGCAAGTTCTCTTCTCAAATTAACTGGACAAATATAATATGACAGGCCCTTTAGCCGAAAAAAAAGATAGCAGACCAGCGATCGAGAAGTTCCCAGATGGGTTACAACAATAATTCAACGGTTGTTTGAGGGTGTCAACCACACTATCGTGGAAAGCAGCGAAGGTTCATACTGAAAATTTGAAAGAAATGAAACACAAAATCCAGTGGAATGCATGGAAGTTAGGTCTTTCGGTATTATTAACCACAAGCATAAGTGTAAAGCATTTACATGCACATCAGATTTTATAAAATAATATTCCACAATTAGGAGAGAATGTGTACTGTCAGGTCGATGTCTGAATCACCATTACCTAATTCTAATAAAATAAAATTAGAAGCACTTAGAAAGGAATAACCTGTTCCTCCATTTCTTGGGATTGCCTTTCTTTCTCTTGGATATGCTCTTTTAGCTCATGTATTTGTGAAAGATGTTGGGCCCTTTCAGCATCAGAGTTATCACGCTCTCTTCTGCAAGAAGCAACTGTAATGAGTATTCAATAATTTTACAGTTTTCTCTTGCGACTCTAATGAGAACCTCATTTTTGCTATATGTTCATAGTTTAAGGAACAAAGATAGCATTTAGTTAAGATATTGATATTTTGAAACTACCTAGAATTTAGAGATGACTAAATCGTTTGAGAATATTTATGGACTCCATGGTCTCGAGTGAACCCTCAATTGACACTACCACATACTAAATTAATAAGTATGCAAGAAGTTGTCCAATAAAGACTTTTGCACATACCGAAATGTAGCTAGCTCTTTATTTTGTTCCCTCAAACGGTCTTCTTTAGCCCACACCTAAAAAAATAATAAACTTATCACCAAAAAAGAAAATTGGAAGAACTGAGACCAACATTTTACTAATATTTGACAGCTATATAAACACTACGAAGAGGATCCAAGAGAAAAATATTTTAGCGCACCGCTTCGTTGTCAATTTTAATAGCACGGAGCTCCCTCTCTTTCTCTTCCATTTTCATCTCCAACTCATGTAAACACCGTTCTCTTTCTTGGAGTTGCTCCTATCAAAGTCAAATTTCCCATAGCATAAGATATTATGAAGATTTATATGTTTCATTTCAAACATATCACGCTCTTTCAGCATTGTTATGCCTTGGTACCTAACACATAGCTATTACAAAAAAAGAATGGTATAAATGAAAAACATAGCATGAAGCTAGTTCATGAATATAGATGACTATGACTGAAGAAATTCAAGTCATGATAAACTAGTATAGTACCACAACACAAAAATAATACAAATAAAAAATAGTTCACTATTTTAAAAACTAAACAATAGACAAAAAAGAAAAAGAATGGATTAAGAACCTTAAGTTTGGCAGCATTGTTGGCATGCTCTTTAAGCTGTGCATCAAAGCTCTTTCGCATTTCCATGATCTCTGATCGCGCAATAAATTCTGCTCTAAGATCAATCTCCATTTGTTGCAACTCTTCCCTCTGAGTAGAAATGTCATGCAGGCGTTGTTGCAATGGGTCACCGTTGGGGACATTGTCAATGGTAATTGAACAAAAATCGACATCAAGGGGCCCTGATCCCTGCTGTACCTTGCAAAAGAAAGACATAAGATTATAGAAGTAGAAATCAGTAACTACATTACAATAGCTGTAAACAATAACAATAACCCAAGTTTTTTCCCAAAAGACAAAAAAACAAAAAAACACACATTTGTTTGGAGAAGTAATGGAAGTAATGGCTTACTGAAGTAGGAACAAAGTGTAAAAAGTGGGAAATAGTAACCGCATTAGAGAAGTAGGAAACAATATCAATGCCCCATAAACTTTTAAACAAAATAAAGATACATTTAAGTAAGACAATGGCTTATACAAGTAGAGAAAACGACAAAATTCAAGAATATTTCAAATAAAATGCATGGACTACAGAAGTAGGAAACAATAATGATGCCGCATGAATTTCAGAACAAAGACAAAGCAATATATGGATGGAAAAAACACCAAAAAAAGTATCAAAGACAACAAATTTCAAACCAAGTACTCGCTGTCTTAGTACAGAAATCAACAATAGAAAAATGAGCATTGGAGGTAAGAATCCGTTAAAGGTATTCAAGCCCTAAAACAATCCAGGTCTTTGCACTTTTCCAAAGCTTTACCCTAGATCCATTGACACCAATGTTTCAATCTCAAAACCAAACAATAAAACATAGGTAGAAGACGGTAAGCATTACCTCGTAAATAGTTCGCTCATCTGATGATTGAGTCAGCTTCGATAGGTCTATTTCCTGACCAAAATCACCACAAATTCTCAGTCCTTTGAGCACAAAAATAGCACACGAAAACCCAAATTGACAGCCAAAACTCGAAGCTAACCTCGCTAACAGGGCTTGCCCTAATCGAATTCTCTGTAACAGCCCTCCACTCCTTTCTTCCTGAATGTGATGGCATGGGCAATGGCTCACCGCGCCCAGCCCCAGCTTCCATGGCTGAAAAGCCCTAGTTCTCCAACCCTTTCAATTCCACTCGCTTCTCCCAAAACCCTAAAAACCTCCAGCAAAAACCCCCAAACAAACAAAAAAACAGACAAACCCCAGTACAAGAAAAAGCCCCACCTGCAATTGTTGAGCAAAATTGCATAAGAAAACTTACATTTGTAGCTGAAAACCAAAACCCTAGCCGAAGCCCTAGAAAAACCAAAATCCTTGCCCAAGCCCCAGGACTCGCAGAGAAAACCCTAACGGTGAAACCCTAATGTAGGGCAACTTTAAGCCAATGGACTGAGAACTTGGCGAGAGGAGGAGATATGAAAGTAAAAGAAAAATGGCCGTCGAAAATGGGAAGGGTTTATGGACGAATATATAGGGGTAAAATGGGGTCCATGGAAATCTGAAAGAATAAGGACCAATAAGAGAGAAGCAACACAGTGAAGTAGTAAAAAATGAGTCTTAGAAAAATGCCATTGTCTGCCTTTGTTTCTCCCAATTGTTTTAGGCTTCTAGGGCTAACTATAAAGAGGAATGGTTTGATGGTGCTGCAGCCCTATCCAAATCAAAATAAGTAAAACCTCACCTCATTTTCCATTCTAAGGGTTAAAAAATCTTTAAATCGATCATCTCAGCTTGGATATTACGGTTGTGAAAAAATAAAATAAGATTTTAAGTTTTAAAAATAATGCATATTGTAACAAATCATCTAGACCATTCATTTCACACTAAAAATATACAATAAATGACTTACACAAATGAACAGTATTTTAAAACTAAGTGATTTTTGGATTTCGATCACCGATTTGGATAGGAAATGATTCGACTGATTATGTTCAACGATGTTACAATTTAGGCCATGTTCTTCCTAATACCCCTTTTCTCGGGTTTTTTTTTTTTTTTTTTTTTTGTTTTTTATGTTTGTCTAAGGTTTTTTTAGGTCCCATTAAATTCCCATGAACCCCTATTTCAATTATTAATTTATTTTATGTACAATATTTCTTTAAAACACAGATTCGGACTGACCGCATCCGAATCATCAATCTAATAATTCAACAAGGATATGTGGATGAACAATCCACCCTAACAAACTAGGTTTCAAAACACTGCAAATGAACATGAAAGTTGAGAGAGAGACTATACAAATAATATCACTCGTGAGTCAGTGAGTCACTGACTGTTTGATCTAGATCATGTGTCTCATAGTATTTTATTTTATTTTTTACAACTTATGTAAGTATGAAATTTAGTACATGTCATCATCTCAATGTGATGCATCTAAAAACAATATTAAAAATGTTTTTTAAAAAATAAAGTGATCAAAATATTCTTGAAACTTTTAAAAGTATTTTGGTCATTTTATTTTATAAATTTTTTTTATTATTTTTTAGAAGTGTGAGACACTCCAAATTTGATATCAAAATAATTTGTAGAAAAAAAATAAAATAAAATGGTACATTGGTGTGAAATTATAATTGAGGTTATTTAATATAGCTGGGTGGACAAATATAATAGGTTTTCCCTTTATAAATTATAAGGTTAGAACTTAGACTTTGTTTGACAAGATGAAAAGGCAATGTTAAATCAAAAAAAGAATAGGAATCAGAACTTGGAAGTAGAGAGACAAACTTCAGATTTTTGTTGAGAGAATATACAAAAAGGAAAGTAGTGCATGTGTTAGGGGACGCACTTCTACAACAGTGTTCCCTAAGGCATTTAACATCTATTTTGGAGATGGACGTTAGAAAATAGTGGCCCCAAAAATTTTAAAATCAACTGCGCAAATTATGTCAAAAAATTTTAGTTTTTATTTTTAAAATTTATTTTTTTCATGGTTCCCACTCATCATGGTTGAGATTTTCGTTCTTTGAAATATTGAATGTAAAATCGATTTCCAAAATAGATTTAAGAGAGATTAAATCTAAAATTCATTTCTAAAATAGATTTAAGAGAGATGTCATTTAAATAGATGAATCGGCCCCTCTCCTAGAAACCTTGTTTGTATACAATGAATAAGAGAGAGATAACATGTCTTGTTTGCATACAATGAATAAGAGAGAGATAACAGGTCTTGTTTGTATACAATGAATAAGAGAATGATAACATGTCTTGTTTGTATACAATGAATAAGAGAGAGATAACATGTATATACGAATGAGCGAGAACACAAATAGGATGGCTTACAAATGAATGAAAGAGAGAGAGAGAGAGAAACTACTAAAAGCAAGAGAGAGAAAACCAACATAAGTGAAAAGAGGGAGAGTATACAAATGGGATGGTTTTGGGAAGTTATAAGATTAGAACTCAAGACTCTGCCCGATAAAAAAAGAAGATAGTTAGGCACTTTAAAAAAAATAAGGGAAATTATTTCGAAATATACTTTAGTTTTTGGTTTATTAGAAAAAACCCTATATTTTCGTAAACATCGTTTATACTATTTTTTTTTTCACTTTTCACCTTTTTTTTTACCAAAATTACATAATCATATGACCGTGAAAGCATCACGCTATACTCAGTATCGTGATGGGCTTAATTGGACGGGTTCTGCCGACTCTCATTTGATGTGAGAGACAAGGAAACATCATATGGCTTTTGTGATTGATATGAGGATTGGCCAGGTAACCTCATCACGGTATTTTAAGTAATGTGATGCCTCAAAATATTAAGTTCATCATAGTACTGAGTATATATCGATGTGTTTATAGTAATACGACTACCGTGAATACTATTTCGATAAAAAATGTGAAAAGTAAAAAAAAAAAATATAGACGAGTTTTAGAAAAGTATAGGTTCTTTTTTAATAAATAAAAAATTAAGATCTATTTCTGATAATTTATTAAAAAAACAAAAGAAAAAAAAAGCCCGGAATAATACTTGGAAGTGTGTCGAGATTTTTGTTTGCATTGGTTTAGAAAGGGAAAATAAGTAAGGTGCGGAGTCCCTCAACGAAAAGGAGAGGTTGCGTTTGTTTTTATCCATTAAAGTGGAGTTTTGTGTTTTTGGAGCAAGAAAATGAAGTGCTTCAAAAATCTGCTTTGCTTCTTGAAGAGGTGACGGAATGCTCGTTAGACATTTCATTCTATTTTTAGTGAATCTCTCTCTCTCTCTCTCTCTCAAAATGAAGTGGTTGAAACTTCAAACATGCATTGCCATGGCATCTCTCTCTCTCTACACCAATTGCAAATAAGCGGTATAACATGCATTAGTAATATGGTATGCTTGCTAAAAGAAAGAAGAAAGGAAAATTTATAAAGAAAAAAAGGGAAATTTATCAAACTACACTTATTATTTGTACCATTTAATATAAATTCTAAATCTTTTTATCTAATTTCAAATTGCCCATCATTCTTTTGATTGAATTTCAAATAGCCCATCAAATGATACCTTAAGTTTAAATGTTAAATAATCGAAATATTTAATATATTTTAATAAATAAAAAAATATCCATGGTATATGATATGCTGTGATGAAGATACTGTATTATGCATCACGGATGGTGGAGATTGAACAATGTTACTGGGTGGATAGTCACTCAGCTACAGTTGATCTCCACCATTAGTCATCACAATAGACGGCAGATATCCGTATGGTTTTATCGTATTCTGTGCGCCACAGGTGTATGGCTAATTGGCTACTTTCCCTTGGAAAGATATTTTGGAATTAGAGAATCACCAAGGCGGTATTTTTGTCAAAAGAAACATCAAGGTGGTATTATTTCAGTAACTAACCATTAAAATTAAGGAAAAAGTTTGTATAAGGTTGCAACCTTAAAACGTATAATTAAAGATGCACCTAAAAAATCCGTCGGAAAATGGTGTTTTAATGATGAAAAACCCTCTAATTGATATATGAATATGAAAAAAGCAAAAAAATTTGAGTCATGTAAATAGTGCATCTTGTAACACATTATCTAGACCGTCAATTTTCAAGATTTTCACATGTTTATAAATCTACTTGATTTTAATCATTTTTTAAGCTTAGTTTTTTATAATTAGAGATAAAAATAGATTTTCAGAAATTACATGCTATGATAAAATTTGGAGGTGCACCTTAATTGGATTGTTTAAGGTTGCAACTTAAGAGAAACCACACCCTAAAATTAAAGAATGCTCATATTTCTCAACCGACATATAGGAGCCGGTTTGACCTTGAATGGATGAGACAGCTCAAAGTGGCTTCAACCAAGTAGGCCTATGGCTGCCAGGGACCCGGGCAGGTGTAGCTTTGGGTTGGGTTTGGGCCACATGATGCCAACAGGGCGGACCAAGGCTGGATCTATTATGCCAAAATTATTTTCAAGTCAGGGCCTAGGGCAGCATTGGCCCGACATGAAAATTTTTAATGTATATTTTATATGTATTTGTTATATAAAAGTTTAGGGTCATATGTTGTTTCCAAATAGTTGGGATAAAACTGAAATGATAATGATGAAAGTTTTAGGGTCAATAATTTTATGGCTTTTTGTTTGTGTCAGTGAATTTGTTTTTTTTTTGTCACTGAATTTTGTATAATTTTTTTAACCACAAGAAGCAAAATATATGAGCAGATGGCGTTATGTGAGACAAGTATGGTTATATGAAGCACAGGAGAATTGTATTCCAGACACTTATTTTTTTTACAAGATTCTAGACATTTTTATTTGATTTATTTTTTGTTTGTTACAAAAATCTAAATACAAGTGCCTTCAAATTCGTAAGATTTAAAATAAGTTAGTGCATAATGAGATAAACGAGATTTCAGAAAACAGGAAAGAAACCCAGATGCACCATGGCAAAAAATGCCTCAATTTAATGGATCCGGTTTCTATGTGGCCAAGCTCGCATATGTAGAAATGTGGGCCTCTTAAGAAATCTATTTTTGAGATATATTTGAAGACTTAATTTTTAACTCTAACATGGAGATTGGACAGGACCTCCGAAGTTGTCGCCAAGGCCCAGCAATGTGCGATGCGTCGCTAGCCAAGCGATGCATCTACATTGCTGCCGGGGCAATTTAGTATTGTAAGACGAGGGGTCCACCCTCTAGTTCCACTTCTAGGGGATAGATTATCAAAGATTTGGGAGTTCAACTAGCCTCAAAATTAAATTATTGATTCTTGAGTCCAATCAAATTCTACCAGCCTTAGAAACTTAAAAACCCTAGGATTTCTAGATATTACATAACTCCTATTCCTAATGGATCTAGGAGCCATTGAAGCTTAATAGAAATCTCTTCTAGTCTCTTTTAGAAGAGACTACCCTAACTCTAAACTCTTAGCCCAGAGAGAAATCATAGAGCCTATTGTCTTCCCCATTCAAACCTAGAAACCCTAGGTCGTGAAACCCCAATTCTCTGCAGACTATGAAACCCTAAATCAAAAAGTCTCAGGATAACTTAATTTCAATTTAGTTTTTTTCTTTATATTTTCCCTTTAATTTTTTGGGTTTCATTCCTTAGTTTTTATACAATTTTCTAGCCGTCTCCGCCGATGGTGTATGACG